TGTTGTAATTATTATATTCTTGCCAAAGTCTATGACCCATGGTTTCATGATTCACTTAACATATTTATGTGTAAAGTTTGTTCCATTCACAAATCACACTGTAACCCTAACAGAACAAGCTGCAAGCCATTGCCTCCACATTCACAGTGAGATAAAAGCTGGACAAACTGAAAGCCGACAACTCTTCTTACGTCTATTGGAGATCAAGCTCATAAGACATATGGCTGCCCCCTAAACTAGACAGAGGCAGCACAGAGGATCAGGGGAGCAGACACCCAGGAGCAAAGCCCAGAACTAGAGCCAGTACAGGTTGGAGCACTTGAAACCATAACTGATAGATTGCTGGAGGCTCATTGTGGTCAACCTAAGAGCTAAAACTCCTGAGGGTGCCCAGTCCTAGGGGACCCCAACCCTACCATGAATTGTTCTCACTATGATTTCTGAAAAACGTACCTGGATTTCCTGCAGGAGGAGGAGAAAACCAACCATTTTGAATTATGGCCAGAACTCTTCATTCTCCCTAACAAGGCCTGTACTCAGAGAAACTGCTTCACCAGAGCCTAACCAACTGGAGTCTTACCAAAGCCTAACTACTCTAGGGGAAGGAAAATACCCAACTCAGGAACACTAAAAGACTGAGACCTAATCATAGACTGCTTCCTGTGTTAATCATCATTCTGTGACCGTGACAAAATACTTGAGAGAATCAATGTAATAAGGGGAAGATGTTTATTTTGACTCTCTGTTTCAGAGGCTCCCATCCATGGATATTGTCTCTGATGCTTTGGGACCATGGCAGTACATTGCATCATGGCAGGGCATGTGGCAGAGGAGGCCTGTTCACCTCATGGCAACCAGGAAGAAAAAATGAGATGAGGGGCCAGGGTCCTAATATTTCTTTCAAGGGCACATGCCCAATGGCCTAACTTCTTCCACTAGGTCTCAATTTCTAAAGGTTCTACTACCTGCCAGCAGTGCCAGGCTAGGGCTCATGGGCTTGTATGGGATGTTCCAGATCTTTATAGAATGCTTCCCTTTCCTCCACGTTATTACCACATCATTAGGGGTCATTACCAGAAGTTGCAATGGAAAGAATTGAAAGCCCAAGAAGAAGTTTCTAGGAAAACCAAAGACAATGAAGGTAACAGAAGGAAAAGGACTTAGGTCAGAAAATCAGGCCAACATAAAGAAAGAGCATCAGGGGACAAATGAAGATAAAATAAAAACATATTTTTAATTCTTAACTGGTCTAAAACATAACAGTTTGCTCAAAAATAATACTAGCAACAATGCATCTGGTGATTTTAGCCTAGAATAAATAAAAATGAATGGCAACAATGTCATAAGGGTCAGGAGGGAGAAATGAATTGGGTATTTGCAACACTGCAAAGTGGTATAGTACTTTTTTTTTGAGGTGCTGGTGATTGAACCCAGGGCCTCAAGCATGCTAGGTTAAGTGCTCTATGGTACAGTATGACTTGAAAGTGTACTAGGATTAATTGTAAATGTACATTGCAAATTCTAGGAAACCACTAATTTTTTTTAAAGTGTCACTGATGTGCTAAGAGAAGAGAGAAAATAGAATCATGCAAAAATCAGTAAAAATCACAAAGGACAGAAAAAGAACAGAAGACAGAAATAGGAAATGAGAACAAGGGTAATAAATAGAAGACAGGAACATAGTAGATATTAATCCAACTGTATCAGTAGTCACTTTAAATGTGATGGTCTAAGTTAGAAGATAGAGACTTGGGCTGGGGATGTAGCTCCACAAATGAGCATGTGCTTAGCATGCATCAGGGCCTGGGATCATACCCACCCACCAAAAAGACGAGGCTATTCAGAGTGGATTAAAAAATAAACTGACCAACCATATGCTGTGTGCAAATCACACTGTAGGACACCACATAGGAACTTCCATGTGTAAGCCAAAAGATCCCCAGCCGGAAGCTCAGGAGACCTGAGTTTCTGTCTGAGTCTATCCACCACTGACAAGTCACTAATGTTCTCTGAGTTACATGTTCACCTCTTTGAAAAGATAAGAGGATTTAGACTGAATTCCCTAAGGTTACTTCCATCTTTAAATCTTATGTCTCATGACCCAATGAGGAAATGGGCCATCGTTGAGGAGGATGAAGCATCTAGCAGGTGCTTTTAATTGGACTGGGTTCACAAGAGAGTCAGTGCAGCCAGCAGATGTGGGTGTGCAAACACAAGAGCACAAAACCAGTCCTGATGACTGTTCCTGGAAACTGGAGACCACTGAACAGCAGGAATCCCTCACCTGGGTCCACAAGTGACTAGGACAAAATTATAAGGAAATTGCAAGCCATCTTTAGGTTGACTTGCATCCTATTAAAAAGGGAGGAGGTCAGGCCCGAACTCAGGGGGTTGTTGCAGAATAACAAGGGAGTAAAGGGGCTAGAGGGTTTTTACAGTTCTTGTCAGAAATCCTGTTCCATCGTCATCTTTTCAAACTAAAAGTGCCCCCACTTTTCCTGACTGATGCATATCTTCTCTACAGAAGAAACAGAAAAGAGAGCTTTAATTTTAAGATTGTTCTTAATGATCAGGATCTTGTGTGCAGTATCTAGCCTAAGAGATAACTATGGCATGCCTTGTCCATTTTGGCCGAAGATATGGACATTCTGATGGAGGGAAAGTGGGGGGGAACCTTTGAGACACTTTAAAAATCCAGGGGAACATCAAAGGGAACTAAGTCAATGGCTGCATTAAGTTGGGGTTGGGGGTCAATACTCTACATGGGCAGATCACCACATATTTTTTCACTCTTCCAGGTTGTTCTCCTCTGGAGATTAAATGATCTAGACTGACTGTTCTTTCCCACTGATACCAATATACATAGTTATGGAAGCCAGCCCTACGCTTACCTTAACACCCTTTGTTTAGTGACATTATCATGTAAAACCAGACCCATGAAGCACTGAAATTTCCACTGAGATATTCTGGGAATTCTAATATCCCACTAGATGAAAAAGCCCCCTTGAGGGCAAGGATTTTGAGTGATATTCATTGTTAGACCCAGTGCCTATACTAAGTGCTTAATAAATATTTGTTGAATGAATAAAAAAATCACCACAAATGTGGGTATTGAAGGAAGTGTGCATAGTCGAATATGATTTCTAAAAATGCTTTTCAAAGTTATTCTTTTTTAAATTTATTTAACAATTAGTGAACATTTTCTATATGATAGCTACCAGAATATAGAAATGAGATAGTATGTGGATTCTCATAAAACACAAGAGGAAGAATAATACTAATAGAATGCTATTAGAAGCTTAATGCTTTTTCCCCCCAATAATTTCATCCTCCTATCAATTATTATTATGCTCCCTTTGCAGACAAAGAAACTGGGATTTGCATAAAAGCAGACTAAACAGCACATCTAGCAAACAGTAGAGCCAAGGATCTTGGTACTTCCCTACCATGTATTTTCTTCCCCAAGTAAGTTAAAATCACAGCCCGACATTCTGTTATGTGATGTTTTGTTAAGGACAATTTGGTTTTAAAATATTGAGTTACAAACAAATAATTTCATTGGGAAAATAAGAATCAGAGTTTTAGGCTCTCAGTCACGAGTTATTTATCTTGGAAAAAAAATCCAAGAATAGGGATGTTTTATAACTACTTGAATGTGCAACTGGAGGTTAAAAATAATAAACTGCTTGAACAAAATAAATGAAAATATTGAGTTCAGCCCTGAATGGCATCACAGAACTAAGTCAATGAGTTTCTAAGTGATGATAAACAGAATACAACATTGAAATAAGAACATGGTTAAACTCAAAATAAAGTGCAGCATAGTTCCCTTTGCCAACATGGAACCAAGAACATGGAACCAAGAAGTAGTCAAGCTCTCCTTTGTGTGTAGTAGGGTCTTTCCTAGGACCCTGGACTAATTTCTGACTGTGCCTGAATTCTCTAACCAGTACATATCCATATCACCAACTGTGTTTCCCAAACTGATCTACTGTGTTAAGTCCTGTTTGCTCTGGGAAAGCTGAAACTGTGGAGGGAATCCTAAAGCTAGGGACATGAATTTATAGCCACAAGAGAAACGCTCAGGGTCAGACTCTCCTCTAGGGAAGCAGGTGGACATGCCAGCTGTGAGGGTGCCGGTTTCCCCAGAACCAAAGGCAGCTTCAGGAATCACCATTCCTTCCTAATGGTGGAAATAAACAGAGCCTAGATTGATCTGCACACATATATGGGCAGAAACTTTGAAACAAGTTGTTCCTATCTGTGCTGCCTAATTAATAGGTGAAGAATTAGGGGCAATGGGGGGAAATCTGTGATCAAATAAAAATCCCAGCAGCTCAGAAAGTGCCCAAGGTGGTGGGAAATGGTCTAGGACTGAAATTGTCCTAAAGGATAGGGCCAAATCCTGGTGCACTGGTGACCTCTTACACTGTGATAGGTCCCTGGAATTTTCAATGATTACATAACAACCCTGCAAATGAAATCATACTCTTTTACAAATGAATAAAGTGGAGATGAGGAGTGATTCCCAGCCAGCAACCATCAGAGCAGAATCCCTGAGTCTTCCAACACGGGGTCAAAAAGCCTTTCCACCAAGGCCTTGTAGGGTAAGCTCAGGACACTGATTTGTAAGAACAATGACTATGGAGTCAGATTGATCTGCGTTTGCCCACCTTGGATTTTAGCCCTATAACTTGGGCAAGTTTTCTAACTTCATTAAACTTCTATTTCCTCATCTGGCTCATGAGGCTCTTGTGAGGATCAAATGTGATATACATAGCGCATGCTTAGCACAGAACTTGGCCCCTGGTTAGAGCTGGACAAATGTTGAGGGCTTCAGGGCATGTTTCTAGCATAAATGCTAGAAAAAAATGGGGACAGAGAGTGCTTGGGGCCTGAGCACTTACTAGGACCAGGGTGGAGAGTGTCAGCCCACCTCTCTCTTCCTCCCACACTGCCTTCTGCACTGGGTCCCCTCAGCAGAAACCCTCCTTTCCCACCTGGAAAGCCATGGAGTTGGCAGCAGCCAAAAATATCCTCAGGGGCAGCTTGGCCTTGTAGGACCTGTGGCTCCACAAGCGATGGGCACCAGCTGTCACACCCAGAGCAGTCAGGAGGAAGCAGAAGTAGGCTGTAAGACATAGAACAGAGAATGTCAATAATTGTCACTGAGCCCTTCAATATCCCCATGTGTCTTCCCTTCCCGAGTAGCAACCCATGTGAAATGACATCAGAGGAAGAATCTGCAACGTGAAGAATTAGTAACTTGAGAAGTCTTTTTATTGATTGGTAGCTTTCCAGTACCAGACAGAAGCAGAGAGAAATTTCAACCTGAGTTCAGGAGGTTTTAAGTGTCATTTCCCCCTCTATATCAAACAAATCTTTAATTTGCTATTGTTTCTCGCTGACCTTGATGCAAAGTCACAAACATATGAACAGGCATATGTGACCTAGGCCTGCCCTCACTTCTGCAGTGAGATTGATCTCTGTTCTGCCTCCTCATTGGCTCCCATGCCAGGGTGAGTGTTATGTGAACAGTATACTTCTGAGTGGCTGTGCCTATTATCATGGGACCACGGGCATTGGTTTGAAGGAAACTGGGCCAGACTTAACAGCAATGAAGTCTGACTCAAGGCCAGTGAGAATAGGGATAAGGCTGACCAGAGGAACAGCAAGACTTGTCTTCTAGAAATCCTCACTTATATCATCATGAGGGCCTGAGATAGGAAGATGGCCAGCTGGGGACATTTTTCTACAGTGGGGCTTTCTGAGTGTCACACACTTAAACATATGTCCATCTCTCACACTCATCACAAGTGTTGTTGCATTCATTTTATAGTTGAGGAGCAGCATCTCTAAGAAGTTGAGTGGCAAGTTCTACATCTCAACTCAAGTCAGTCTTGTTCCCATGCCTCTGACCAGAGACCCCCATACCACCACTGCTACTGTTGGTGATGGTGGTGATGGTGATGGAGGTGGAGGTGGTTGGTGGTGAAGTTAGAGATGGTAGTGGCAATGGTGGTGGAGGTGGTGGTGAAGATGGTCATAATGGTGATGGTGGTGATGATCCTAATGGTGATGGAGGGGGAGGTAGTGGTATTTTTGGAGGTAGGAGTGGTAGTGGCGATGGTGGTGGATGTGTTGGTGATAAAGGTAGAGTGATAGTGGTGATGGTGGTGGAGGTGGTGGTGGAGATGGCATTGGTGATAAATGTAGTGGTGATGGAGGTGGTGGTGGTCAATGTGATAGTGGTGATGGTAGAGGATGTAGTGATGGTGGTGGTGGAGGTGGAGGTGTAGGTAGTGGAGATAAAGGTGGTAGTGGCGATGGTGGTGGAGGTGGTGGTAGTCATGGTTTGCTCTTTGCCTGGAGGCCTGGGAGTGGAATAAGTCCATGGTAGAAAATAGAAGCACAGGGACCCAAAAATGATGACTATTGAGATAATCGTAACTACTATAGTAGTGGCAAAGCAATGTGCCCACATAATGCTAAATATTTTACTTGATCATCTTACAACTCTATGGGGTTTGTAAAATGGGAGTTCCTGACCCCTATACTAGTCTTTGCCTCCAAGAGACATCAAGTAAGTTTTATCTTCTCTTCCCCACCCCCTACTGTCATCTTGGATATTGGATCTCAATCTAATGTAAAAGTGAGCTGCTTCCTTATTGGAGGAAGAGTCCTAACCCAGACCATAGGAATGTGGGCTTTACAAAATTCCTTCAAGCACTTAACATAGCCAGGGCCCTCCATAAAGAACTGCCAGAGAGAAAGTGTCAGGCTGTTAGCCATGAGCTGTGATTTGCCAAATTAAAAAAAAAAAAAAAGCCTTGAACTGTGAGAGCAGCTGTAAATAGTCCCAGGCCAAGATGCTTATGTAGGGAGCCCACCATAGCACTTCTCTGGAAGAATTCTACGGCAACTTAGATCAATATACACAAATATATCAATATACATATTTAAAAGGAGCCCAATATTACATCTTCCAAAAGTTAAGTGTTTGACGGATCTTGTTCTCAGTCTATATTTATATGGTTCTGAAAACAAGATTTAGTCTTAGCCCTGAGACGAATGAGTCCCTGAATATACGTTGTTTTCATGAACTTCACAAATCATTCCTTACTTGAAAGGTTAAAAAGCAAAAAACAAACAACAATCTGCCCACAAATCACAGAAAGTGCAGCAAATAAAAAGCTCTGATCTTTGTTATTATAATTTAACCTTAGTCAGGAGTCTATGAAATGGATAGTTATTTTCCATGTCATCCATGGCCTTCATGTCTCTACTAATAACTTTTTTCAGCTGTCAAGTAGTTAGGAGACAAGTAAAATCTAGAATGGAAAAATTTAATGTGACTCTATTTTGCCAGTGGGCTGACACTGGACCTTAGATGCAATCAAATTAATTTGAAGACTCTATGAAAAGCACGGCCCCCAAATGAATCACTCCAACCTACATTTCCCAGTCAGACCACTACCACAGACTGTGGCTTTGTCTTGTCCTTTTGGGAAACTCCAAAAATTTAGGAGTTATGTACATGAATGGTGTGTCCATGCCCAAAACACTAACAAAGAACTCAAACTAAGGACTGAACTGGGCAGTAGTGGATGTTGGTTTTCCATGGTCCTTCATGAAATCCAGGCCTGACCTGGCCCTATCTTCCTGATAATGAGAATAAACATTTGACCCAACATTTCTCTTTCTTCTGGTTCAAAGCCCAATCCAGGGTTAACCAAGGTCACATATCACAAGATAAGATATGCTGTTTGCATTAATAAAGAATGAGGCCAAGAAGGGAAGACGCAAAGATGACAGAGGTATCCATGAGAGCCAGAGGGAGAACTATTGGCCTTGAGCTACTGATTGAAGGCTCAGGAGCTCTGCAGTCCCTATTTGATCCTATGGGCCTCCCTAGTATATTTCTGAGCTACGATAGTCCACAAATCCTTTTTTCTTATTTAAACTAGTTTGGATTTCTGAGGCTTAAATCCTACAAACCCTCTTGGGAGGAAAGCAACCCTCTGATCATGATTCAAATGAGGATAAACCACAAAAACCCCAAGCTGATCTGAGGATTTATAAACTGTCCCTTTACAGGACTCAGTATTCCTGTTTTGATGGGGCCAAGTCTCTGTTCTTCTCTTCTGTGGTCTTTATGTCAATTAATATTCAAACAAAATTTCTGGTAGGTGCTGCCAGCTGGCTCTGAGGTGATAAAATCGACACAGAATTGATAACTTTGAAAACAAAAAAGGTGTAATGAGCAACACTGAACCCTTTACCAACTAGCTATGCCTTTAACAGAAAGGTCAATAAAAACCAGAATCACAAGATGACCAAACACCAACAAACAAGTATAGTGTCCTGGATGCAAACGAGTTACAGACTGTGGTTAGCTCAAACACACACACACAAAAAAAAAAGAAAAAGGAAATGCATTAAAAAGATGTCGAGTAGCCTGGAGAACTCCAGGGAGGTCTGCAGGACAGACCTTTGCCTGCAGCCTCCAACATAGCCCTACCATTTTCCACCTCCTGGCCTTGTGCTATCTCCTCCCTGTAAGTAACCTGCTTCTTACCAAAGGAATATAGCAACATTGAGCGAATGCCAGTTCCATGATTAGGTTACAAAACACTTGCTAGCAGATTCTCTCAAGCTGTTTGTGATGAAGCAAGGCCCACACAGCAAGAAATTGGGGGTTCCTCCAACCAATCACCAGCAAGGAAATGAGGTGTTTCAGTCAGCTTTTTTGCTGCTGTTACCCAAAGACCTGACAAGAACTATTTCAGAGGAAGAAAAGTTTACTTGGGGCTCATGGTTTCAGAGGTCTCAGTTCATAGAAGGCTGACTCTGTTGCTATGGGCCCAAGGTGAGGTAGAATATCGTGGCAGAAATGTGTGGTAGAGAAAATCAGCTCAGGACATGACAAAATATATACTCCAAAATCACACCCACACCCTACCTGCCTACCATTACCACCAGATAATACCTATCAGGGGATTGGGTTATAACTCTCATCATCTAATCATTTCACCTCTGAACCTTCATGCATTGTCTCACACATGAGCTTTTGGGGGACACCTCATATCTAAACTATGACATGAGTCCCTCAGTCTCTTAGTCACAAGGAACCAGATCCTGCCTACAACAATGTGAGTGATCTTGGAAGCAGATCCCTCCCGCAGTGAGCCTTCAAATGAGACTGCAGCCCTGGCCAATACACTGCAGTCTCTTGCGATACCCTGAGACAGAGGACTCGTTAAGCCATGCCTGAATTCCTGCCCCAAAAAAGCTATGATAAAGGAGATGTGTTTTTGTTTTTAAAACAAAACTTAGAGCAAAATGCTAAATGTGGAGGTAATCTGTTTTGCAACAAGAATTAATATAAGACTTAAGCAGGAACCTTGCCTTCAGGTAAGGAAAGTGCATCTTTAAATTCTGGTTGGAGAAGTTTATCATCTATCGACAGAAAGCAGACTGGTATTGCATGGTGCTAGTGGGGGGGAAGTAAGAAGAGACGGGAGTGACAGCCAGAGGGTTTGATCAGTGAGAGGGGACAAAAGTATTTTAAAACTGATTTGATGATACTTGGCCAATTCTGTGAACAGATTAAAAACCAAATAACTGTACATTTCAAATGGGTGAATTATACAGTATGTAAGTTATATAACTCAATAAAACCATTATTTTAAAAAATTTTAGTTGTAAATGGACATAATATCTTTATCTATTTTTATGTGGTGCTGAGGATCAAACCCAGTGCCTCACACATGCAAGACAAGTGCTCTACCACTGAGTTAAAACCCCAGCCCAATAAAACTATTATTTAAAAAAGCAAATTATTACTGAATTACTAGTAGTTTTTACTATGCATATTATTTTTCAATGTGAAATTAAATAGATAAAACAAAACAGACAAAACCTGACAGATTACCTAGGATGCCACCAGGATCATCAACACCCCTGACACTCTCATAGCATGGACCCTGAAATCTCCCACCATTGCCAAGAAGATCTGTTTTATCCTAGGCCTATGCCTGAATCCACCAAGATCCAAGATTCTGAGGCAGAAACATCCCAATACCCACAGTTGGGTCATAAACCCAAGCTCTAGCATCCAATGTCAAGAAG